CCAAAAGAAGCACCAGCTTTCAAATAAAAAAATAATCATCAAAATTCGTTCACCTAGAAAAAAGCTCTGAGGTGATCAAAATATAACAAAAATAATCAAACATGTAAAGAAATACCGTCGAATTGAAAACCATCTGCTTTTTTGAAGTCAATTGAAAACGAATAAAGTTAATAAAAAAATTATCAAAAGAGTTAATTTCGAGTAATTAATATTATTTTACCATTTATGTAGTCTCGAAACCATATTTTTTTTAGTAGTATGACGATGTTAAAACGTTTCCCTATTATTACCTATCTCCTGTATCGTGGAGACAGTACATAGGTACATAAATTTCACAATTTCAAACATCCCGCCGAACTATTATTTCCAGATTCAAACCCGCGATCCCCAGCGCAGTAACTCATCGCTAAGCCACAGCGAAAACGAACGGCAAGTCATAAAATTGTAATTAAAATAGCGACTCATTTATTTTAATAAAGCAAACAGAAATCAATCTCTTTAGCTCTCGACTCTCTTTTGACGTCGCCACGAGAGGACTTACCCGCAGAGGTGCTCTCGAAGCACGCATGAGCGGTCGAGCACTCGCGAATCTCTTTGATTGATCCGTCAATTTTTTTAACAAGAAGTATCAATCTCTCATATATTTCTCGTAAGATTTATGTATGAACGTGTTGTATATAGTACAGTGGTTATAGCCTATTTTAAAATACGAAATTTTCTCCGTAAACGTTTAATTCACACAGTCCTACTGAGGGTAACTCTGACTGACAAACTGCCTCGTTGGTCTAGTGGTTGTAGTAGTGCGACTGCTGATCATGGGGTCCTGGGTTCGAATCCCGGGTCAGGCCAAAAAATTAATTATTGAGTTTTTCCGTCAAGAAATTCTCAGTAATTGCCCGGAGTAAGGATGTTGGCAGTGTCTCACCCCCGTGCCTCGGAAAGCACGTAAAGCCACTGGTCCTGCGCCTGATCTTTCTCCGGTCGTGTCGGTTTACCGTCCCATCGGATTATGAGAGTGAGGGAATAGAGAGTGCACCTGTGCTTGCGCATACACTTGGGCACTATAATCCTGTCCTGCGCCGATGGCTAGCCTCCGTTGAGGCAGGCCGCCGTGACCGAAATTCGTTCTGGAGGACATTATTATTACTGAAGGCAAACGGATAGTTGTAGCACGAATGGGTCGGCTCGACCGGGGAGGGACCACGCTCTCACAGAATATCAGCGTAAAATAGTAGCTTAAAGCTGCTGTATTTCGTATAGTAACTGTAGAGAACTGGAGACCATTTTTGCTGGAAACAAGGAATTCCATCTTAGCCGAGGTGAGAACGAATCTGCATTTTGATTCTTAATCGAAGATATATGCTTATCATCTGTTGGACTGTGTGATCGTTTGACATTGTTATTCGATAAAAAAAATGCTTTAATTTAACCAACCTATGTTACGTAACTTAAATTTTAATTTACGTGATTTAGCTTACTGTTACCCAGCGCATTAATACAAGATGGAGTGAGGTAAGATCAAACAAATGTTTAGTAATAAAAACACCTCCACTTTCAAGTGTCATCCCCCATTCGCCGGCGTAAACGTAACTCGCAAATTTATGCGGAGCGCCGCTAGAGCGCGCTCGAGTCGCGTTTAAGGTAAGCCCTGTTTATTATAATCAATGAATATCAGAACAAGAGACTCCGTTATTCTTTCGCCTGCTCGGCCCACATTTGCATTACAAAGGTTGTCGCATCAGGTGGGGGATGCTGTTTAAATGATCTCAATTGTCTCAAGCACTTCTCTAGATCGCACTAATTAGTGAGAGGTGTCACATAATATAGAGTACTTATTTAATAATTTTTAATTTCCTAACAAATTAACTTCCCCGCTATGAAATCTGCGAAATATTTCACCAGTGGCAGAAAAAGTCGTTAGCGTCATTGTATCGTCAAGCATTTTATTCGGTTCAATAAGGATTTAACTTTACCTTTACAGTGTATCTAAAGTCCCCTACTGAAATTATATATATTTCATCATTCATTACAGCCCTTCACAAGTCCTGTACTAGTTTTATATATATTAATATATTATATTTTTTTTTTTTATTTCGTATATAAGGCCCAAGTCACCCTTAGGACTACAATGAAATGCCTCGTTTCTAGTAAAAAAGTGTCGGACTTTACTAACTCGGACGGTCTTCTGAACTTATCACACGTATATCTAACATATCGGCATTGGGCTGCTATTTTAAGATGGTACTGCGAGAGCGGAGTCCTTTCTGGTCGAGCCTACCCATTCATGTTACAACTATAATACAGATTATCGTAGTTGTATCACATGTAGAAGCCTTGTTAATCGACAACAAAAGTACGTTGGCGTCTTAATAATTTAATATCTTGGACTGCCTTTCCGTATATAGCAACACTGCTTACTGTACTGCCACTTGCGCACAGTGACCTCGTCGACTATTGCGACATTGTGAAGTTCTTATTAGATACGGAATTAATGGTTTATGTATATTAAGAGTTATAGAAGGAAATATATATATTTCTTTCACCCTAGGTCTATGTACAACAGTGGCTTTTGGAATGGGAAAATATCCTGAGCAGCGTCCTTACCTTAGAAGATGGCACTGCCAATGCGCCGACCAAGCGTGATCATCAAGGCGTATCCTCTCTACAGCAGTCAGCAGTGGACTTCAACGTGGTGCTGGTGAACAAAAAGTATAATAGAATAAAATAATTATAATATATTTGGTCGGCTTACCACGGAGAGAAAGAAGCATTTCAAAATCATCTTCGTTCCACCGGGCCACAAACTATCGTATACAAATGAAAAAAAAACAATTTATCTGTTAGAAATTGTCCTACAGTGCCAAGAAGTTTAACAAAAGTTACATGGTGACACGATCTTTAAGTAGTTTGTAAGAATTTCCAAAGGACAGTTTGCTTAGAAATTCTTTATTTTTTATGATTTCTTTTATTTACGCGAATGCTAAACATTGAATATAACGATTTTTCCACCGACCTCAAACAAAGAAGGAGGTTCTCAATTCGACTGTATTTTTTTATGTTACCTCAGAACTTTATCCTTGGTTAACCGAGTTTCATGATTCTTTTTTATTTAAAAGCTGGTGCTGCTCATGTGGTTCCATTGATTAAGATCTGACCAGTAGTTTAGAGTTATCCTTAATCCCATTAAAAAACATAAATGTGAAATGCGAGCCAAGTTCAATATTATGATATATGCCTTGGTTGTTGACTTTAACGACAAAAGAAGTGAGATCTAAATGGGTGCCAAGTTCAATGGTCAGTCCTGAAATATATTTATAACAACATAAAATATCGTTTCTTCTTATAACTTAGGATAATATATTGTAGCCTTAGGTCTGACTTGGCTAGTTCTCATATACGAATTATCATGTTCGATGGCTAGTTTTTACCAGCGAAGCCAAATTTTCGGAATAATAAAATAAGAACCGACAAGTAACAGGTTTAGAACTTGCGAAGGCTATAATACAATTCGTATATGAAAACTAGCCAAGTCAGACAAGACAGAGTAAAGGTAAGGGTAAAAGGTAAATTTAATTAATTAATTAAATTAAATTATTAATTCTTTATATATTTAAGACCGGCTGTCATAAGTTTTGATTGCTGATTCTTACAAACATACATTATTACAGTTATAAGTATAATATAATTGTTAATAAAGTTTAGTGTTCCTAATAGAATCAAATAAGTGAAAAATTATAATAAAATGAAAAAAAAAATACTAGTTTTTGATTTATTCCTTTGTATTCACCTAATTACCTATGTGCATGCCAAATTTGAACTTTCTAGGTCATCTGGAACTGTGTTAGAGTTTTGATCTATAGGTCAGTCAGTGATAAAAATGACGATTTTTGGACGTTAATATCTAAATAACAGTTTGAGACATTGATTTATACAGGGTGACCCAAAAGTCGTGGATCAAACGCAACTAGGGGTTAGATGGGGTCATCAGCTGCAAAAAGTTGTTCTACGGGAGGTCCTTAAAGTCAACCCCTGCAGAGTTATAATTTATTTTGTGTTTTATAAGAAAATTGACTTTTTTTTAACTAATTCTTATTAGAATGCCAAAAAAATAAACATCCTCTATCTTTTTTATAATTTTCACTAGATTGGTACTGATGAGTCCTTGCGTTAGACATGCTATTTAAGGTTGTTTATTGGGTGTGTTGAAGATAATGTTAAGTTTTACGATTATTATTTTTCTTAAATCATAACTTTTTATTTACTTCGGACCCCACTGTGAAATAAAAATACTCTACCGAAAAGTGACCCTGTATTACAAGTTTTGGCGCATTTAATAGGGATTCTGAAAAGGTATTACACATGGTTATGCGTGGCTTTGATATCTTTTTAGGACGATTATTCATGGCAAGGCCAAAGTTAACCCAACCATAAAACTCGGTTAGGCTTATTTAAAAATAAACTAGAATTAATACAATTAATGACAAAGACTCTCTGCCTCTCTTTTACACTAACTATTTAATCCTTTGTCAGTAAAAGGCCGGTTGGCCCGTCAGTTCACGTAGCGATATCTTTTCTAGGAAACAAAAGGCTGGGCCGGCAGGGGCGGGGGCTGGGGGATGCGCGTGAGCATGTTTCTTTAGAACGTTTAGTGTTCTTTAGTAACTCGCTTCCTGCCTGTGGGTACGCACGTGTTCTTTTTCTCGGTTTTACGACGACTTGTGACCAGTTTCTTTCCTTTGACCTACGCTTTGTTTTTCGGACTTGTGATAGATTGCCTACCTGTGACCAGTGCTGTGTGAATCGGACGGATTGGCTACAAAAGTGGACAGATGGCTTCTGCGAGGAGAGAATACACCCAACGGGAGTATGCAGAAATGCATTACCTGTATGGCTTTTGCGACGGTAATGCCCGGGCTGCTGCCAGGGAATATCGTCAACGCTACCCTAACCGTGATCGTTTTCCGGATTACAGGGTCTTTATGCGCGTACATAATTCGTACATGGAGGGAGTCTTACCCGGTCAGCATGCTATGAGAGCAGGCAGACCAGTGATGCAATTTGAAAATGAAGATGAAGTGCTGAGAGAATTAAGATTGGATCCTAGTATAAGTCAACGCCAAATATCCAGTAATATCGGGATTCCAAGATCGACGGTGCAACGTGTCATTAACAGAAAAAAATATCACGCCTACCACGTGCAAAGGGTGCAAGCTTTGCTGCCCGGTGACTATGAACCTTGAGTGCGGTTTTGTAGAGAGATGCTAAGATATCACAGAGAAGATCCGCAGTTCTTTAACAAAGTTTTATGGACGGATGAGTCAACTTTTAGAAGAATGGGAGTATTCAATATCCACAATCTACATTTTTACTCCAGAGTAAACCCCCATATCATAAGAAATGATCGATTCCAGAATCTGTTTGGTATTAACATGTGGGCTGGTATAATTGGCCAGCAGTTGGTGCTGCATGAAATGCCAGCAAGGCTGAATGGTGCTCAGTATTTAAATTTTTTGCAAAATAATTTAAACCATATTCTTAACGAAGCTGAAGTTCCAGAAGAAAGAATAGCAGAAATGTGGCTGCAACATGATGGCGCCCCGCCTCACTACGCTCGAGCAGTCAGAGATCATTTGAACGAGCGCTTCCCCAACTGGTGGATTGGTCGAGGCGGACATGTTGCGTGGCCACCCCGGTCGCCCGATTTAAATCCATTAGATTTTTTTCTTTGGGGCTATTTTAAAGAAATAGTTTACCAAGGAGAGAACAATAGCGAACAAGAACTACGACAAAAGCTCGAGTTTGCTAGAGTACAAGTAACTAACAACAGAAGTGCATTCCGTAGGTTACGTAGGAATTTTATTAGACGGTGCAGATTATGTATTATGGTCAGAGGCAGGAATTTTGAGCATTTATTGTAAAATGTTTTGCTTAATAAAACAATTATTTCACAATCGTTGCTTTGTTTTTTCGTCCTAGAAAGATATTAAGGCCACTCATGGCCATGTGTAATACCATTTCAGAATCCCTATTAAATGCGCCAAAACTTGTAATACAGGGTCACTTTTCGGTAGAGTATTTTTTTTTCACAGTGGGGTCCGAAGTAAATAAAAAGTTATGATTTGAGAAAAAAAAATCGTAAAACTTAATATTATCTTCAACACACCCAATAAACAACCATAAATGGCATGTCTAACGCAAGGACTCATCAGTACCAATCTAGTGAAAATTATAAAAAAGATAGAGGATGTTTATTTTTTGGCATTTTAATAAGAATTAGTTAAAAAAAGTCAATTTTCTCATAAAAACACAAAATAAATTATAACTCTGCAGGGGTTGACTTTAAGGACCTCCCGTAGAACAACTTTTTGCAGCTGATGACCCCATCTAACCCCTAGTTGCGTTTGATCCACGACTTTTGGGCCAACCTGTATATTACACTAGATCAGTAATAACCGCGCCAAAGCGTTGCCACTGCACATATGGCCACAGCCATATGCCTAGCTTACGTCAGTTCAGTGTTCAATGTGACGCCGACAGAGTTGAGCCGTGACAAAAAATGGGTAAATGCGTAGTGAAGAATGCTATTCAAGGTCACAAAAACGTAATAAATCAAGCGGAATCACTTCAATACACATCGATCACTAATAAAAAACTAGATATTTTTTCTAGTAAAATTAAAGATGTGAGATTTTATTTTTAATTTTTCAGCTTTCCTCGAGATCCAGTTAGGTGTATAAAATGGATATCAGTCATAGCATATCAAAGGTCCGAACAATTCTTCAAGCCGACCCAAGGAAGCGTTGTATATTAGAAGCATGTTTTAGAAAGTGATGAATATGTGACTACGACTTACAACTTTCTGTACATACTTTTTATATTTAGTAACTATTGAATTTAGATTTAAATTTTTTGTCAAGCAATATTTTTAAATTTTTAAGATGAACAATAAAAAAATTATTATGACTGTTTCAAGTACTTTCGTTACTAAATAAATGTGGTGTCCTATCCAAAAACGTATTTACATTCAGGTAAATTATAACCATTACATATAATACACCATAGAACAGAATAGAATATGCTTTATGTACACTAGTTTTTAAAACACGTTTAAAACATTTTAAAATAAAAATAACAGTAACAAAAAATATTGGGCAGTTCGACTCCAATGATTCCTTGTCCAAGCTACGAGCCTCGGTCGTAAAATTTGATTGCTTTTTATTTGCACTTTGTAATTTTGACTTTAAAACACGCATGTGAGGTTGAATTTGCTTGACCAGCCAGTATCAATCATAAAAATTTATTGTTTTTCGTACGTATCCTTGTGAATACAACTATAGGCAATGTATTTAAGGTTGAAATTACATAAATGTATATTTATTTCAACTAGAACTACGTTACAACAATTGGCGACAGTTTTTAGAGAACTTTTGTATGGGATTGTGTATCTAGTTGTTCTTTATTAGTGATCGATGTCAATACATAATTTTTAGTTCTTGTTTTCATATAAACGTAAATAACCTCAAATAAATAAAATTATCAAATATTGCCATTTAGGTGCAATGTTGCCACTTTTCTGCATTTGTGATTATCCTACATTAATGGGAGACTATATAATTAATGGAGTAAGTTAATTTGTTACCTCTAATTTTAAATATTTTGGAAATTATAATAAAAACTACGTAAAACGTACTTTCATACAAAATAATTAATTATTCTTATTCTAGTTTATTCATGAATTATCTATTAAATATGTTTTATTACATATTTTATATTAATAATTTTATAATAATTATAATCTCATATAAATTTTATATTAATTATATTTTATTACCTATTTTATATTGTTTGATTTATTAGTACAATAAAAATACTTATAAAAATAAGTTTTGTTTCATCATTACGTTTACTTCTATTTTTTTTTTGCGCCCGAAGCAAATATGGGCAACCCTCCGAAAAGCGGGGGGAGGGAGGTTGGGAATGCTCATAGCATACCACGCAGCCGGCTGCGTGGTTATGTGGTGACTTTTACCCACTAAACCCAACCTTTTAGGAATTGGCTTAACGATCTGACTAGAGATCTCTAAATGGCCCTACATACGACACGATTTAGAGGCAATCTAGGAGGCATCCCCACTATTCCACCCTAGATCGCCACCGATATCGTGTCGTATGTAGCCCGCTTTAACGTCCTTCCGCGAGGAAAGCATCGGCTGAATTTTTGCTCTTGCCAGCCGATTAAGGAGGCGATATCGGCCACGACCTAGGATGGCCCTACATACGACACGATCTAGAGGCAATCTAGGAGGCATCCCCACTACTCCACCCTAGATCGCCACCGATATCATGTCGTATGTAGCCCGCTTAAGCCGTATACGAACGCGACCCTCCTTGGCAGAAAGGAGGGCGCAGTTTACTTCTATTCATCTGATAAGCTTTGTATCCTTTTTTTTAAGGGGACGCAATAAAGATTTTAAAATAAAATAAACTTTTTTAATACAAAAATAATTAACTGCAGCTTAAAAAAACTCATTTTTATTGCGTATTTTAGGTAAAATTTCATATAGTAAGCCACACCAACCCGCCATTGCATGTTTGTGTGTCTATCTTTACCTAATCTTAGCGACAATATTGTTTTCGCAACTTGTGTAAGTGAGATAGACATATGTTTATTTATAATAGTTTCAAAGCTACGTCGTCGCGTTTGGATAGTGGTTACACTTTTTTCGACGCGCGATAATGTAGTTTGTTCCTCTAGTCTAGTGTTGTATAACTCAATGGTGTGAGACGTGTTTATGAAATTTGAAGCACATATGCATCTCGCAAGTCTCAATACTTAAGCCTAATTTGATACGTTAATATGAAATAGTTTTTGAGTTATGAGGGGGTCAAAAGTGGCTCCAAATGGTTCGTGTAATATTACACACGGTGCGGCTCGCCGTTCTGCGTGAACTTGTCTTGACACGCTACCGCGTGTCTAGATAACGCGTATTAAATCGACTTCCACTAGGTATGTAAGTACGAGTCCTACATGATGTTCTCATTTTATTCATATTGAAGTCAGTTGTACAAAATATTTAATTTTACCAATTGTTTACCCGACGCTTCGGGTGCTGCCATGGATGTTCCATGGTCACAGGGCGATTGAGGTATTCAACCTTCGGATGTCAAAGCTATCCCGGAGACTTTTAAGTATTTATTTTGGTCCGATGTACCTACGTAAAATGAGCGTACTTTATCTTGATGTCTTATAGTGGATGCTTAGATTTGGTTTTAATTCCTTTCCCAAATTTTTGCATATTGGGTATTTGGAACATAGAAGAATTCCTTCTATCATCCGGTTCGTTCCGTGATGGTCGCACACAAGGAGCAGAAGGTACTACATGGAACAATTCTTTTAGCTTTACTTATTGGTGGTGGGATTTTCTGCGTCTGGTTACAGCCTGGGTAGGTGCCAATATCCTTGCCGGCTCCGTGGCGCAGTGGCTTAGCAACGAGTTGCAGCGCTGGAGGCCGCGGGTTCGAATCCCGCACAGAACAAGTATATGTATGGCCTACAAATAATTGCACAGCAATAGGATAAAAATCCTAGAGTGGGGTAACGTTTAAAAAAAGATTAAAAGAAAAAAAAGAATAATCCCTATTTCTGGCAATAAATAGCAATGCTTACACTCCTATGCTACGTTATTCAGGGTAAATATAGGGTACAAATGCAGCCTGCGAGACATTCCATCTTAATCCTGGAGGAAGTCATCTGCATCCTCTTAGCTTATAGTTGACTGCATGTTTCCATGGACCGTAGTAACCACTTACCATCAGGTGGATTGTAAGTTCATTTGTCATTTTAAATTAATAAAGAAACTATATTTTTATTAAAAAAATGTTTGATAGTAGGTTATATAATTGTAAGTAATTCACATGTTGCTTCCTAGACACCATCAAACCATTATGATTAGGGAAGAACGTGTCAAAAACCGACAGAGCGCCCCTCCGAGCACTAACTCACTCGTCGCATCCCGCTGCCAAAGACGACGAGTCAATTCAATTAAATAAATCCTTTAATAAGCAAATAAGCAGAAGCGAGAGCCCAATGCGGAGATCAAAGATACCCTCTCAATGTCAGACGGGGCCCGCGCGCTTCACAGTATAACGCGACCGGTTCAAAACTGTCGAAACATTGTGTTGAAACTTTATAAAACATTGAAAGACTAAACTTAAGTTTCAATCGTAGACTAACTAACGT